ATATATATAATCTTAAAATCATGGCAACAATTTTAAGTCTTAATCTTTTTACGGTGACGATGATTAATCAGTTTAAGTCACTCAAATCGAGCTTAGACCGAGTGTAGATCTAGCTCAAATCGAGCCCAGATCAAGATAATTGGTTCGGTCAAAACTGATGAATCGGTTCAGCCGAACCAATTCATCGATCTAACAATTGATCAAGAGGATTGGTTGGATTACTAGTTTGAGAACAGGAAATTTAGTTTGTATTATGATGATATGTAATTGGCTTGTATGGATTTGGGTCAAATCAAAATTGGATGAATCATATTAATTATATACGATGATGAGGACAAACTTCATCATTTTTCCTTTTGTCATGTATTAATTAGATAATAAATATGAAAGCTTCAAGGCTATAGTGGCAAAAATAAAGTGCATAATTCTTTTCTAGAAAATTAAAAATTATTCTAAGAAGTACTAATACATATTTGACAAAAATTGATAATTTTATATAATAATAATAATAATAAATCTTTGAAAGACATCTATAATCCTAATATCCCGATAACAAAATTATTACTACTCCCTATTCCTTACTCTCTGCTCTCATAAATCTTTATAATTTATTTATATCTAAAATAACTTTTATATTTAAAAAAATAAAATATATAAACTCATATTTTAAAAAATGAACCATATAAGCTCATCTTATCAAATAGTTAACAGACAAAATCGTGACATGATGACTAATAATAAATTATTAATATAATAATATATATAATTTAAGTTTAAAAAAAAATTATTTTAGCCCACGTAGTTTTGATCATGGACTACTTAAACCTTTATGATTTTACTCATGTATAAAAGAATATCTATATTTTAAAAAATATACCATATAAATCATTTTCTATCAATTCTGAACTAATAGGTATATATAAAAAATATAGTATCTTTGCTTACGTTGACTCACAATAAACTATTAATATAATAATACATATAATTTAAATTAAAAAAATTGAGGCCACCATCAATAAGAATGAGACATCGTCGTGGAAGCGATCACCAATAGCAGCACCAAGATGCACGTAGCCTCTCTCGCGCTGGAGATAAACTCATGAGCTTCCGGTCCTACTTTAGGTGAATGTGTGTCGACTAATCAGATACTAGGCATGCAATAATCAGCATATCACGCAAGCATACTCTAACATCTGTCAACAACGAGATATATGTTAAGTTTTTTAAAATGTAAAAGTTATTTTAAACACAAACAAAATAATAAAGACCTAAGTGATTCATGTCTAAAACCACTTAAAGTTATACGTATCATTATATTAATAATTTATTATGAATCAATATATCACATAAATAAACTATAACATTTATTAACTTAGATTTGATAAAAATATAACAGTTATTTTATACATAAAAATAAATCGTAACGACTTAAATAATTCATAATTAAAACCACAACGGTTAAAATGAATTGCCCGAAAATGAATCTTAACCCTGAAGTACAAACTATTCTAAACCTATTAAATCTTTGGAATAAAGTAAAAGATTTCACATAATTTTTCTACAAATCTTTGGAACATCATCATCATAAAAAAAAAAGGTAGTACAATGCAAAATCAACATGGGGAGCATGGAATCATTGTAACACTTCTTTAGGAATCTTGGCACTTAAAAACCCATGGTTACACCACTTCACACATTTATTCTCAAGTCCAGTCATTCCTCACTACTGCAATACAAAGACATAGAGTTCACTCGAGTGCCAAACAAACTAAGAATTACAGCAAAACGAATACAAGCCAGCTTTATTTAGATCCCATCCACAGTGGACAGAGATGTACAGGCTCATCATAACTGTTCTACAGACTGAGGGCCTTGAGAGAATCACCCTTCTGTTTCAGGCTAACCAGCAAACTGTCGAAACTCTTCTTGAATGACTCCACACCCTCGGCCTCAAGCTGTGCCCCAACTTCGTCCCAGTCGATCCCCAACTTCTCTAGTGCACTGTAAATTCCCTCAGCCTCCGAGATGTTTGAATCAATGGTCCTCGAGACGACACCGTGATCCATAAAGGCTTCAAGAGCCTGGTCGGGCATGGTCGAAACCTGGAACCACATCAAAATATAGGAATGTAATGCCAGGAACATTGTGCTATACCCATAAATTTGAAGTTAAAAACTCCGGATGCACCCATAGCTGAAGTTCCATGTTTGATGAAATTTCATATAGCCAGATAATAATACATTGGTCAAACCATGCCTAAGAGTAAAAAATATAACCAATTGTATGGTAGGTGTGGTGGCAAGACAATGACACACAAGTTGCACTTTGCCTAAAACTCCCACCAAAGCAACTCAAATCCATGCTCTATGATCATGAATCATTAAATTTCTTGGTGTCCTTTATTATTACCATGGTAAGCACCAACATACACCTCTGATTAGACTATTATGCTCAGATAGATTTCACCATTGGGAGTTCAATCGGTAAAGCTCTTTTTCTTTTTGTTTGAAATAATTTAGAAATACGTTGTAGTAACTAACCGTGTCAGGTCCAATAAGAGGATCGACGTAAAGAGTGTCAGGATATGCAGGATTCTTAACACTGGTCGAGGCCCATAATAACCTCTGCTTTTTGGCACCCTTCTTTACCAAAGCCTCCCAACGTGGACCAGAAAATTTCTTTTGATACAGCTTATAAGCTAGAGTTGCTTGAGCTACAGCTGCCTGCGGGGTTCCAACATAGAGAAGGTAAGCATCAGAAAAGGTAAGCATCTTTGTTAGTCTTCTCATTTTAGAAGCCACCGGCAACAGAGAGTTTACCTTTCCTCGGAGATCAAGAGCTTCAGGTGTTCCAATCTTTTCTAGCATTTTATCAACGAGAGTGTCAACACGACTGACAAAGAAGGAAGCCACACTGGTCACCTTAGAAAGGTCACTGAGCCCAGAAGACTCGAGACCATCCAAATAAGCATCGATCACAGCTTCATATCTAGGGAGT